CTGCGGTTACCATCCTGCTGCACAAAAAAGGAGATAGATGTGATTTGGGCAATTACAGGCCGATCACCTTACTGAGCTTTTTCTACAAACTGCTGGCGAAAGTGATGGCGAACAGAATCAAGCAGGTCTTACCACGGGTGATCTCGGACAAACAGTTTGGCTTTCTTCCGGGGAGGAGCCTTGCTGACGCGGTCTCGCTGGTAGCAGATGTAATTGACGCAGCGGAGGCGGAGGATGAAGATTGGCTACTGCTGCTGGTGGACTTTCAGAAAGCCTACGATTCCGTGTCACGTGATTACCTGTTCACAACGCTGTGCAACATGGGCTTTTCGGAGAAGTTTGTAAGATGGGTGAGAGGTTTGCACGATGGTGCAGCAACCAGGATGCTGCTGAACGGTTGGGTAGGAGATCGGGTGGCGATGGACAAGGGAGTACGGCAAGGCTGTCCACTCGCCCCTTATCTCTTCCTTTGTGCGGTGGAGCCGCTCTGCCAAGAGATAGGGAGGAGAAATCTGGGAGTTCGGAAGCGGGGGGTGAAGGGGGAGTTAGCCTATATTGGGTACGCCGATGATACAACTCTTGTTCTGAGAGGGAAGGAACAAGTGGCTACAGCGGGTAGGCTGCTCGACGAATTTGCTGAGATTTCGGGGCTGAGGGTGAACAGCAGCAAAACGACACTGATGCCGCTGGGGAAGAACAGGAGGAGACTGCAGCCGATAGAGTCGCGTTTCACATGGGCTGACAAAGGAAAGTCGGAGCGTTTACTCGGAATCTGGATCACCTCTGGAGGGTCGCCGGGACCTGCATGGGACAAGGCATTTGAAAAGGTCAGCGCGGTGCTGAGCTGCTGGGAATCAAAGCACCTAAAGACGTCGGCACGAGTCACAATCATCAACAGCTACGCGATGCCGATTTTGTTGTTCCAAGCACAGATTTACGCTCCGCCGCACGATATCTGGACCAAGGTGAAAAGGCTGTGCCACAACTTCATCTCGGGTGGAAGAGCGCTCCTTGATAGGCATTTCACCCTCTGGAGTTACGAGCTGTCGTGCAGGGGGCGGAAAGAAGGGGGACTGGGAGTGATTGACCTGAAGCAGCGGATCGACAGCATTGTGATACAAAATCTTGGAAAAGTTCTGGCGGAACAGGTGCCACTACGGAACTGGCTATGGGAAAGGGCGGCTGGTTTCCCGCTCGGCTTGGCTACGATCTACGCCCACCCCTCAGTGCTAAAACATTGGCTGGGCGGCGGCACGAGGTGGAAGGCAGCGGTGAAGGCGCTGTGGGAATCAAAAATCGTGACCATGGGTGACCCTGCACACAGATGGGACGCGGAGGAGGAGCAGTTGCTTTTTAACCGCAAGATTTTCTTCAGGGGCAACTCGCCCTTCGGGAATCAGGCGGGCTCACACTGTCTGAAGGGCGTCCGTCTGGGGGACCTGGTGGCCAAAGGGGCAAATGGTAGCAGGAGTCTCAAAAGCGAGGCGGTCCTGGAACGGGAGCTGGGAGGTGAGGCGCAGAGGAAGTGGGCTCTCAAGGCTTGGGAAGCGGCGCCCCAAGGATGGAGAAACTTGATACTTAACCAATTGACGGCGGAGGAGGTGTTCAGGGAAACAGCGCTTATCTGCTCGCCGTCGTTCCGGCCGGGAAAGTTTCTTTACTATCAGCTGGAGCACGTGGAAGACGGCGTGTTATACGGGAGGAGGGTGGAAGTGGATAAAAAGGGTTTCGTGTCGTTGGTGACATACGCTGAGGTGGGGACGGTGGATTTCCTACGAGCTACGCCCATGGCGGTCATTGACGGGAGAGTTCGTGGCCCGCTAGGTACCCCAAGGACAAGGCTGCTACACTCCCCGATCTGTGAAAAGGGAGAACGGGCTGAGCTGAAATAGCTGAGGAAGGCGATGAAACACTTGATGTCTCAACCGAAGCAGCAGCTGCGGTGGGAGGAGGAGACGGGGAAGAAAATCGATTGGGGGAAGGCCATCACGGTCCGGGACTCTTTGGCAACCCCATGCAGAGCGAGGGAGGTGGTGCTGAGGTTGCACAGCAATAACCTGCAAGTGGGGGAGAGGCTCCCTTTCTTGGGGGAGAGGGCGAAATGCGTGCACTGTGGAGGAGTGGAGTCGCAGGACCACTGCCCGGCGATCCAGCAAGTGGTCGAGGTGATGAAGGGTGCGGTACAGTGCATTAACCCGGGCAGGGAAATGAAGTCACTCGGGGACATGCTGTTCCAGAAGAGTGGCACGTCGACCGGTTTTCCGGAAGCTGCAATCATTTCAATTACAGCACAGCAAGTGTGGTTGGAGAGGTGCAATGCGGTGTTCCGTGGCAGTCGTTTCCAGCCTAAGAGAGCACTGAGGCGCATGGCGGTTAGTTTTACGAGACACGTGAAGATATACAGCAGAGTGCGGAAACAGTTGGCTGGCAGGGGTGGTTCGAAGAGGACAGGGGAGTGGAGTCACCTGAATGCTGATGAGGCAACGGCTTTAAACAGGCTGTATGAGAACGAAGCCTCGATGACGTGGAGAGCGGGCTTCAAGACCATATGGGAAGATGGCGGTGTAGCTTTCCTGCCCCCGTAAGGAGGAAGGGGGGGCCTGGTTACCTGTAACCACTTGCATGCCCTCCTAGAATCAGTTACGACTGCGAGTGTATGTATGCGTGTAGTATACTTATGCTCACCAAAAAAAAAAAAAAAAAAAAAAAAAAAAAAAACGGTGGAGTAGCGCCACCGTCGTTTCACCGCACCGGACGGGACCCTGCGGCCCCTGCGGCTCGCAACAGCACAGCCTGGGATGCCCTGGATTTTTCGTACCGAGGGAATCAAAACAAGGCAGCTGGATTAGAGCTGAAATTGCTGCCTTGCTGGGCTGGCAAAAAACTCCTCTGGGGTCACTCTCCTGGTCTCTCCTCCGCACGCGTGATCCAAGCCGCGCTTCGTGGTTCGTGAACAGGCTGGTGCGTGGTGATGGCTTGTAGATATTTCTGCGTCACGGATATTGTCGTCTAGCTAGATTCTCCTTGAAATATCCAGTGGTTCCTGCCAAGCTGTACAATACAAAAATGCTTCCATTTTCCTCTCATTTATCATCTGAGCTTGCCTCTCTAGGCTTTCCAGAAGGAGAAGAAAAAGAAAGGTTTTCCGATTTTTTCTTGGACTAGACATGTGTCCAGTCAGACTGATTCTGCTGGAGCAGCAGCGAAGTCCAACACACCCAGAGCCTTCTCCTTGTCTTCTGCAGACTCGGCTCCCTCGTTGACTCGGAAGGGGTCGACTGCTACCCTCTTCTCCTCATCTCAGACATCATTGTACCCTGCTGACCTGCCCGGCACAACAACCTGAGATTGGCCGGGCTGGCTGGAATGTTGTGCGGTTGACGTCTCGCTCGTTCTTACGAGTGGGATGGGAATGGGAATGGTGCGATGCGAGTCGTGTCGTACGCACGACGTTGTCAAGTCTGGTTTTTCAGACCCACCAAAACTCAACCGAACCCAAACCAGCCCAACCCTACTCATGCGCGCCAACAGGGGGACGAAGCGGGCGGGTTGCTCTGCCCTTGCTTGAACGTCGGAAAGGGGTTGCTTCGAGGTGAGGGGCAGGAAACGGGCTGCACTGCTGACTGCTCCATCCCCCCTCAACCTCAATTCGTCGGAGGTCAAGGGAGGGAGAGTGGGGCAAACGAGTGAGGATGAGATGAGGACGACGACAACTCGACGAGTGCATTCCAGAAAGATACATTTCTCGGCAAGCTAGCATATCATTAGGCGCAAATAAAAAAACACGTTTATCCGAGAGTAGTCAGGAGGGGTCGGCATTCGCACCGTTTTCAGTACTTCGCTCCATCAGCATCAGCATTCACACCGTTCTCGATACTTCGCACCGAAATTAGCGCCTTTCCATTTGCTTAAAGCTTTTGTATACATTTGCAATCACTGTTTAGGGTTGTACAGTATGCACCTGAGAACTTCGCCCAAACGAACAAAATTGAGGTTCGTGAGGGGTTTGGCGAAAATTTGCAGAATGAATGGTTCGTGGCACAGGAAGCTCCCCCGTCACTCAACCTTGCATTGACACTCACAGCCCCAAGCAGGATAAGTGTCTAATAACATAGCCACGACATAGATAGAGGAGATCTGTGCGCGTCGTGCAGCATTTATCGGCAGAGTCGGGAGCAATAGCTGGTAGCATCAGCCCGTTGCATGCACCTCGCGACGCCGCCACTCTTCTTACCGCCTCGCCCGCTGCGCGCCATTGGGGCTTAGCGCCGCGCCCGCTGCGCTCCTTCGTCCCGGTGAGCTCCCGTCCCGCTGCGCGCCTGCTTCCCGCTAAGCGCCACACTCGCTGCGTGCCCGCCTCCCGCTAAGCGCCCGTCCCGCTGCGCGCCTGCTCCCTGCGTAGCGCCTCACCCTACGCGCGCCTGCTTCCCGCTAAGATCCTCACCCGCTGCGCGCCTGCTTCCCGCTAAGCGCCCGTCGCGCTGCGCGCCTGCTTCCCGCTTAGCGCCCGTCGCGCTGCGCGCCTGCTTCCCGCTTAGCGCCCCGTCCCGCTGTTCGCCTGCTTCCTACGTAGCGGCTCACCCTACGCGCGCCTGCTTCCCGCTAGGCGCCTCACCCGCTGCGCGCCTGCTTCCTGCTAAGCGCCTCACACGCAGCGCGCCTGCTTCCCACTTCGCGCATGCGCATAATCTTCACATTTCCCCCCCTTCTCTCCCCATGTTTCCCCCGCTTCTCCCCGTCATTGCCCCCCCCTATTCACCCTCCTTTGGCCTCCGTGCTTCCGCTCATACCCCCCCCTTCTCCCTCGTGGTGCCTCCCTTCACCCCCACGTTCCCCCCATTCTTCCTCTGATTTGGGCCCCTCCACCCTCACATTACCCCCCTTTATGCCCCTCAATTTGCCCCCTTTCACACCCCCATTTCCCCCCGAATTCAAGGCATCCAACCCCCCCCCCCCCCCCCCCATCCTCTGAGTTCCCCCCCTCCCCCTCTCCCACTCAGATTCCCTTCTACTCGCTCTCAAATCCCCCCTTATCCCTCTCAGCCCCACTCGCCCTCATTTTACCCCCTTCTCCCCCTCATCTCAGCACATTTCCCCCCCTTCTCGCTCTCATGGGTGGCGTTGTCCTCCCCCTCCTGTTGCTCCCCATCATCCCTCTCAACACCCCCTCTTCGCCCCCACATTTCCCCCCCTTCTCGCACTCAAATCCCCCCTTTCTCGTTCTCTTCTACCCCCTTTCTCCCAATCAGCCACTCCCTTTCTCCCTCTCATTACCAACCCTGGCCCCCTCTCACTCTCCCCAGCCCCCCTCCTCCCCTCACCATCATTTCCCCCCTTGCTCGCACTCATTTCCCCCCTTCGCCCTCTCATTACTCCCCCGTCTCCCCCTCATTTCCCCCCCTTCTCCCCCCCATTTCTTCCCCTCATCCTTCTCATTCCCCCCCCTTCCCCTACTCAGATTCCCCCATTCTCGCTCTCAACCCCCCCTTTCCTCCCATTCCCCTCTACTCCCTATCATTTCCACGCTTCTCCCCCCCCATTACCACCCTCGCTCCATCTCACGCCCCCGTTGCCCCATCTCATTTTCCCCCCTCCTCCCTCTCGTTGATATGCCTGCTCCCCTTCATTTCGCCCCCTTCTCCTTCTCAGTTCCCCCTTTTCCCTGCCATTTCTCCCCCTACTCCCTCTCAGTTCCCCCCCTTCCCCCTCTCTCAATTCCCCCTTTCGCTCTGAAATCCCTCTTTCCCCCCTCTACTCCCCTCTCCCCTCCCTCTTCTCCCTATCATTTCCCCGCTTCCATCTTTCAGGACCTCCCTCGCTCCATCTCCCCTTCCCCCTTGCGTCCTCTCAGCCCCCCCCCCCCCACCTTCTCACCCTCATTTTATCCCCTTTGCCCTCTCATTTCATGTCCTGCTCCCACGCATCTTCCCCCCTTTTAGCTTCGACTCCCCCCTTCTCCCTCATATCCCTCCCTTCACCCCCGCATGTAGCTACATTTCTGCCATCTCGGCACCCCCTCTTCGCCACCTCGTTTCCCCCCCACATCGGACTCAAAGCCCCCTTTTCTCCGTCCCGTCTATCCCCCTTCTATCTCTCATCTCCTCCCTTTCTCCCTCTCATTACCCCCCATTGCCCCATCTCATTCCCCCTCTTGCTCTCTCTCAGCCTCCCTCCCCTCACCATCATTTTCCATCCACCCTTGCTCACACACATTACCCCCTCTTCTCCCCCAACTGTCCCCCCCTTCTCCCTCTCATTTCCCCCCCTTCGACCCCTCATTACCTACCTGTCTCCCCCTACTACCCCCCTTTCTCCCCCCCATTTATCCCCCTTCTCCCTCTCCTCCCCCCCCCCCCCCCGCCTTCCCCTACTCAAATCCCCCCCTTCGGTGCTCTCATATCCCCCTTTCTTCCCTTTCCCCTCTTCTCTCTATCATTCCCCTGCTTCTCCCCCTCACTTCCTCCCCCACTCCATCAACATTCCCCCGTTTCTCCCTCTCAGCCCCCCCCCCCCCCCCCCCCTTCCCTCATTTCCCCCCCTTCTCCCTCTCATTCACCCCCCTGATCCCCTACATTTCGCCCCATGCTCCTTCTCACTTCCCCCAATTCTCCCACTCATTTTCTCTCCTTCTCGACGACATGTCCCCCCCTTATCCCTCTCATTTCCCCCCCTGCCCCTTTCATTACCCCCCGTGTTCCCCTCATTTCCCCCCTGTCCCCCCCCTGTTTCTCCCTCTTCTCCCACTCATTTCAACCCCTTCACCATCTCAAGTTCCCCCCTCCCATCTCTCAGATCCCCCTTTTCTCCCTCTCAAACCCCCCCCCCCCCTCCCCCCCTCTGGTCTCTATCATTTCCCCCCCCTCATTTCCTCCCTCGACCTGATGCCCTCGTGGGAGGACAGCCAGCTGCTATCAGGGGTTTGGTATATGCCTTCCCGATAGATCGTGGGAGCGATGAGGAGACTCTACGACGCGACACCACCGTTTTCCGTCAGGGTGGAGCCCGTCGAGGTGCAGCGTATGCTGAGCTAAAGCAAAAAGGTATGCGCTCCCAATCAGAGTTTAGCTACACTGCACAGCCCGCAAAATGATACCATGTCAGCGCTGTTAGTGTGTACGTTGCGAGTGACCCTGTAATCTGGACAGGGGCACGCACCGCGAACGATCAGGTAGAGGGCGATCCACGTGAGTGTGATCATCCTCTTCTCTGCCCCTACCATCCCCTGCCCCAAGGATGCAACATGGGCAGGTCCATTTTGTCTAGCCTTCCATGCCCATTACATCACTTCCGCACTCAGGCGATGGGATTTCCCCCTTTCCCTTCCATTCCTCCTCTGCCCCGTCCACCCCCTACCCCAGTGAGGAGGCATGGGCATCGCACGTTTTCCACCCTTCGGTACGGCGAGCCTCACTCAATCGGTCTTTGGCAGCGCACATAGTGTGGATGTTGTGTGTGAATTTTTTCTATGATCTCTATTATGTACAGCGGGAGAGGCCAACAGCACTGCTGCCACGCCTACGGTGCGGGATGTGAGCGAGGAGGAAGAGGAGCAGCATGACGTGGTGATTGAAATTGATGATGAAGTTCCGGTACAAGTTGGAGATGTCCAAGTGGAGATCGATCTTGAGATGGGAGGAGAGAGTGGGCAGCCCACTGCCACATCTGGCAAAGAGGACGGACACACACACGAAGTGTAAGTGAAATGAGAGGCGACGTACTGGAATAAGCGTATGCACGTGAAAGAAGGGTAAGAGGTAGATCATCTACATCAATCTAACCCATGATGGGTTTTGCTAGCCCAAGTAGTACCCTAAAGCCCAACATATTTTCCTCCCACCCCAACCTAGGCAGTCTTCGCTCCCGCTTCAAATCCCACTCCACGACTCAATATCAGGTTATACACCCCATTTCTCCCACTCATTAGGAACTCGCACGATCATGCGATCCCGATCGAGACCTCGCCCGGGCGATGGCCGGCACTCCCAACACTTGACGGACTGCGGGATGTCGTGTGTTTGCTGAGCCCAGTTCACATCATTCGGTTCTTCATGGTGGTGACGCTGCATTGCACCATTAGCGGTGGATGTGGGGGCTCGATGCGGTTGCGCTCTTGGAAACTGTTGTGGGCTGCATTTGGAATGGTTTGGAGGTGTGATAAGTGTGGAAAATCGACGTCGCTGTGGTCGGTTGATCGTCAGCCACTGGGCTGCACGACCGACAAGCCAGGAAGGAAACGTCTCCCGTTGTTACAGCGATTCCTTGCGTCATTTGCTCTAGCGGGGTTTGGGTACACTGCGCTATCGGAGGTTGGTCGGAATCTCGGTCTGCCCATCCCATGTAAGAGAACCTTCTACAGGTACATGAGTGGGGTAGGTGGGCTGTGGGAGAAGATCGTAGAACATGCCAACAAAAGCATGGAGGTGGTGCGTGCAGCTATGTTAGCTCGGCGAGAACGTGGTTTTTGGTTGTGTGTTGACGGAAGGTGGGGCCAGCCACGAGAGGCGGAATGGTGTAGTGTTGCATTTATGGATCCCAGGTCACGTAAGATACTTCACTGTGTGACGGTGTCGAGATCCATGCTAAAGGTATCGTCGACTGAGCTAGAGGGTCAGGCATTCTCTTAGGGACTAGAAGACCTGAATAATTGGGGGTTTCCGGTGAAAGGTATCATCAGTGATGACGGGTCGAGTTTCAAAGCCGTAATCATTAAGACAGACCTCGAGCACCAGATGGACGTGTGGCACAAAGGACGTTCGTTATCACGGAAGTTTGTGAAGCACTTTGTGAATGCACGAAAGGCCGCACTATCCACCAAAGACGCGAACACTGCTGAGGATCTGTGGGATGTAAAGCTCGATGATCTCAGGGCCTGGTTGCGAGATCATCCAGGTCATGGCTTGAAGGGTCTACACAGAGCGCCAAAAAGGGAATTGATTGGTGCTGTTTGTCGTGTTCGGGGCTGGACTTTTGTGGATCTCTCCGGCGATAGCTCGCCGTATTTGTACCCAAAGATGCGTCGTGTATCGTATGTGCGGAGTGGGCGCAGTAGAGGTTCGACCCGCGCAAGGTCTGATGCCATGTCGGTTGGTCCTGATGGGTGTTGCACGGTGGAGGGTTTGTCGCGGGAGGTTGTGGATGTGCCTGTTGCACAATCTCAGCACATGGAAGGCGGGGATAAACGGGTCACGAATGAAGCGTTGAAAGGGTTTGTTGCAATTGATATTCTGGATGATGGTATCACAGAGAGTCCGGCTGATCCAGGAGGGGTGGATTTACAGTACTCCGACGTGAGAGAGTTGTGGGGATACGATCCACATCCAGAGCATGGAGTGTGGCCAAGCTCTGTGGTGTCGTTCTTCCTCATGCAGGCAGTTGCGTCAAATCATGCCGATGCAACTCGTGGCATGACGGGTGCCGCGACACGAACCAGCTCAACTTTGGGACCGCCAGGTGAGGCCCGAGCAAAGCAACTGCTTGCAGTATTTGTGTTTCGCTTTGCTTACACCCACAGCTCTACTTGGATGCCATATAAGTGCCGGTACGTTGAATTACACAATACCACAACCCCCATCCCAAATCTGTTGTTTCCTAAGGTACTAATGGTGACAGCACCACGGTGGGAGGTGAGGGCAACACTGCGCCGTCCGGTGGACCACGTCGCTGGGTGAATAAGCGACCCCGCAGTGGGAAGAGGGGAGCAGACGATTCGCTTGAAGAAGATGGCGAGGAGCATGGAGGGGTAATCGAGGAGATGACAGTGGCACAGCGATTCAGCGTACACTTCCATCACGTGATGGCACGTTGTGCTACACTCTGGCGAGCGGGCAGGCCGATGACGGCGCAGGACGTTGCTGATGAGATTGCTGTTGCAGCCGAGCATTGGGCTGGAGATCATTCACGCTGTGGCCGGGGTTCCGAGAGGCCAATATGCGTGAGAGAGAAGTGGGGTGCTGAAAGTGCATTGTATAAGCCTGGTTCCCGCACGCACATTGCTTTCAGGAAGTGGTTGAGCGAGAACTGTGGGGCTGACGAGATGAAACCATACGTGAGTGGGGAGTGCAATTGGATGAATGAGTCATTTCATTCATTGATTTGCAAGTACGCTCCGAAGCGCACCTTGTTTCGCGGAAGCATGCAAGCAAGGGTTGGATTGGCCGTAATGCACTGGAATCATTCTCTGGAGCGAGAGGTCCGAGCCACCAAAATCAGAATGCAGCGTGCAACTAGGGTCCGACGGGGAAAGACATCCCGGACCTTAGGGCCTATGGATTGGACCTGGGTAGACGATATAATGCGGGATTGGAACTGCATGACACTTGACCCTGTGACGAGTCCAATCGCCGCCAACGCCGGTGCTGCTGCTCCTTCCACTCCCCAACCACCCAACAAGCGAAGGCGTACCATCACCAGTGGATCATCTGAACCTAGACGTACACTCTTTGGTAAGTCCCCCCATATGTCTCAACGCGCATGGTGGTGCATTATACATGCAAGTAGACAACACATTTGCAATGCAGGTGTGACAATTGACCTCCATTTGTGTTGTTTGCAGGAGACGTCTCCAACGTCAGATGATTCAACCTGGTGGGCAGCATGCAACATTGGGGACTGCGCCCGTATGTGAGCTCCATTCTCACCCATCTACTCAAGTATGGATTGGTTTGCATTGCCTGCTGCATGCTGCGCCTTCCTGCATCCCTTGCTCCTGATGCGTCTGTGCTGTTTCTATGCTGCATTGGCAACTGACTACCGTTCCATCGACCCCTCCTGCTCCTGCCTGGTGTGTCCCTCCCTTGCTACCCCTTTCTGCTGGGTATGCCTTGCTGCCTGCTGCTTCCCAATGTAGCACTCGCTGCTCGGCACCTTGTCTTCCACCCCCCACACCACTCCCATCGGCCTTGCACGGGTGTATCTGCACTCACTCGGCACAGGTCTTTCAGGTTCAACCTTCCACCGCATCCCACCCCTGACTGCATTCTCAATCAAAGTGTATTACCTCCAGCTGCGCCGCTGGAGCTTCCGAGGCTGGCTCCGAGCCAATGGACACGACCCGAACCTGCTTGAGGCAACGGAGAAAAGCGGCAGGAGAGAGTGGGGAAGCGGGAAGCAGCAGGAGGGGAAGGCGTGGAGGAAAAGGAAAGTTGGGGAAGGGAAGAAAGAGGAGGAAGTGAGGGGAGGATAGGGGAGAGTGGAAGGAGCAGGGGAAGAGAGAGGATAGGAGGGAGAGGGAAACGAGGTGGGACATGGAGCAATGGAGACGTTGAGGGTTCAACTGAGTGAGCAGTACACTCAGGAGAAACTCGCCCTCTTCACGTCCTATGTGGGGAAGGTGAGACTTGCCTTCTTTCCTGGCCCTCTTTTCATCCTATGTGGGAAAGGGAAAACTTGCCTCGTTTTTTATTTTCGTCGCATGTGGGTGGGGGGGGAGGGGAGGGGGTCTAGTCAAATAGATATGACTAGAACTTCTCGCGATGCGACCCTCACAAGTTTTGGACATGCTCAGAGCTTCTCCTTCTTCTGTTTCTCTCCTCTCTTCCCTCCATCTCCCTCCGTTCTCGCTCCATCTCCGTTCAGGAGGTGTGAGTGAGGGTGGAGAGTTGTGACAATAAGGCGCGCTCTGTCTTTGTGAGACAAAGGGGGCTGACCTGGAGGATAAGGAGCGGGTGGAGCTAAGAGAACAGCTGCAGGTGGTTATTTCACTTATGAGGCGCCTCAGAAGCAAGTGGGTGATGCAGGTGGGTGCGTGCACTTCGTGGGGGTAGAATGGTGTACGCATGTACGGCTGTACGCATGTTTGTTATAGCCTCCACAGTGGCATACATCAGTGGCAAGAGCATGGTATTTTTGACTTTGGGTTCCATGTCCAGTGCTCCATGTTTCATCGTAATCTACTGCTAGAGTGATAGGAATGGGTAAGAAACATGGAGGTAACTGTTGATAGCCATTTTGAAAGGGGACTATTCGTTCATTGTTTTTTCTAGATCCCTCACCCATCCCTTTCCTGCCCTGTTCCTTTATTTGATTCCTGTCCCCCCCTTTGTCTCTATTGTGTGCCACATGTCGCTCCCTCACAGGTGGAGGGAGTGAACGTCATGATCCACTATGGCAGCATCCGGCAGCTGAAGCAAGGACCATTGGACACGTGGCCCTTCCCCATTGGTCATGTAGGTTTCACTTCTCGCCCGTTACATTTGTGTGCGGTGGCAGAGGTAAAGTCAAAGTGGCGGTGGCAGACTGGACCAGCAACCTGAACCCCTTGATGCACTCTACAGAGGCGCGAAGTGTGATGTATCAATGTACCGCGCTTGCCGTCCAATATACTTCCTCTGCCTCACCCTTCTGCTCTGGCCTTTCTCGCGCATGTCCCTACCTCAACCACCATTCCCGTATTCCCATTTTTTCCCTTTATCCCCTCCGTCCCATGTCCTGACCCAGCACTCTCTGATGGTTTTCAGGATTGCAAGAACCCCACTTTGATCACTGCATATTTGCCCGCCGAGTAGCTACCTTTACAATGAAATGTAAATGCACAAACGTGGAAAAACCTTTATCACCAAGCCACGTAGCTTCCCCAGGTGCTTCGGAGAGCTATGGCTCCCCATGCCTACACTTTGGTACCTATCGGCTCACCATATAATGTTTGTGGCATGCAAGTGTACAACGGGCATGTGAATGCTCCCTATGGTCACCCTGACTC